CCCCTATCTATGCATTCATTATCTGACTTGATAATATGGATACCAATATTCAGTTACCATGTCGAAATTCAAGACTTTTGGTCACTATCTAATAAACGATCATAAAGTTATTAATCAATCTTAGACAGAAAAATACAATCTATCACCTCCAAAAGTTGTGATGTCCAATAAAGTTAAGTTGAGTTGATGGAAGATGAAAAACATTAAATAAACCGACACTACTTGTTGCTCTTGGATTTTTTCTTAGATGCTGCAATATACATCTCTGCATCATCGATGCTATCAGCTGATTTTCGATTTCCCAACTCCTTGGCTTTTTTCTGCAATAAATAAATGCCAATGGAATTTCCATTAAAATCAAGTGCTATAGCAATGTGTGTGTATCATAATAAACAATTAAATTTGTTGCATTTACCCAAAGTATCAAACCTCTTGGATAGCATGAAAAGTAGTAGGTGATACATATTAATTACATACCTTCAAGGATGTAGTAATTGCAGCAATGTCTTCCTTGTCATTTTTAATTTTATCATCCTCTTGTTTTCGGGCTTCCTGAATATCCAAAACAATATTTTAAATGAAACGGAAAGACTTAAGAAAAAATGTGTAGAGGCTATTTATTAATGATGAATGATATGACCTCTGGAGGCTTAAATGCTTCTTCCCGCTTCCTCTTGTTTTCAGCAATTTTTTCAGCCTGTTTTTCCTGTCTTTCTTGCCATTTCTTTGCAGACTTCTTTTTGTCACTTAAAAAGTATTCACCGCTGTCTAGTTGCATGTCAATCTGAAAACAAAACAATATTATCATTTACTTTATTTGAATATTTGGTTACCATGTATATTTGGAACGGAACAAAATTTTGAAATTTTAGTCCCACTCAAAAGACGTAAATGCCCTCCTCATCCTGATCATAAAAAAAAAAAATTGAAGTGTTCAAAATACCTAAACTGAATAAACCGCCCAAACCAAATAACCGATTATTTAACCAAATACACCAATTAAGGTAACCTTTTTCAGCGTTTTATTTGTAGAATTTATAACCCATAACAATCTGTTTCCAATTTGAATTTTCCATATTACCTCACTTAAAGCTTATGTATTGGAATTTCATTAAAATATAATATGCATTTATCCAATTCCTAATTCATTTAGTAAAATGGGACGAGTGGGACTTATATGTTGTTTGAAAAAGATTCAATTAATATAAACTTTTCAGAGAACAATGTCAAAGAATAAAACAAAAATAATAAATAATATAATCACCTTGCTTGGCTGTGGGGGTGGTGGGAAAGGTGTATATTCTTTCTTCTCTTTACTCTTAACCTTCTTTTGTTTCACATTTTTCCTAAAAAAATCAAATAATCAAGCCAAGCGTTATGTATGTACATGGATTGGATGCTGCCAAAGTTTAAGAGAGCATAGCAATTCAACTCATTTTATGATGATAAATCATATATAAGATTTCAGAATCAGAAAGAGACAATGAGTGTTTACTTTTTGAACTTGGGAAGAAACCTATCCCAATTCTCATTTGCAAGTTCTGGATTGCTTGCAAGATCTCTCCTCATCATCAGCACCTGTTAAACAACACACAAAATGTTATTAGTGCATCGGATATTATTCCAAAACAAAAAAAAAAAAAAAAATGTACTACTCACTTTGATGTTGTACAAGGGATGCATTTTATTTAACATGCATTCTTCTACTATCCTCCTTACTTGTTTCAATCCTTTAAATGAACCCATTGAAGCCACCGAGTTTCCCTGTGCATCAACAAATTGAAAGAAATAAGGTTTGTATGTTTTTTCTTTTTTAAGCCAACAAGTCATACAGTTCTACCTGAACAAGAATATAGCAGCCTGTCAAAATCTCCAGTGCCTGCATTCCAAGTAAATTGTCAGAGGACATAAAAGGAAAACTTGCAGTAAATAGCAATGTACTTTACTCTTTTTTTTAGCCCAAGGAAAACCACTTTCCTTGCCTGAATCAGTAGTAATTTACAGATTTCCTAGTCAAATTGCTATAAACATTCAATTTTGAAAAGTAAAGCGACTTTAATAACGATTTTGAAAGTCTTGTGACCAAATTAAAAACGGAAGTGAAAGTTCATTGTATTTGCCCAAATAAAGGGATGAGTAAAATAAATCAAATTTTATAATATTGCACTTCCAACTTCCAAGAGATTGATTTTAAATGAAATGTACACCTTCAGAGTGGACGAATTGGGCCCAACCAGCCGCTGCCTTCGTTTCACAACTTTTTCCTGAAAACATCAGAGTTAGTCGATAGCAATTTTTATCTACTTTTCCAAATTATATAATAATAATAATAATAAATTATGGTACCTTATTTCGGACTAAACCTCCAATCTTGATGATGTCACATTGCATTTCATCATTTAAAACCTTAATGGCCTGCAACAAAATTCACTTTCACATCAAACCAGATTCTAAAAATTCCATTTTTGTGACAAGTAAGTATATATCAAAAATTATCATTAAAAACTGTAATTTAGATTTTTATTCATATATATATAAAGGGAACAGAGAAATGAAACTAACTTCCATTCGAAACATCAGCTTAATGTGATGATGCTTACCTGAGGTGCAGGGACACTTCGTGACAAGAGTTTAATCAGATCCCTAGATTTCACTATGATATATGGATCCCTTGTCTTTCTAGTTGTGGAAACAGTCATCGACCCTTTCACCTGAAATCACGAATTCTCATACAATATCAAAAGAAAAGTTTTGAAAAATGCAGATAAAAACTTTCAATGCACAATCAAAATCATTTGATCACGAACCAAATCCAGCTCACATGAAATCCCATGTTCTTTCAGTGCACCTTTCACGATAGGCCAAGCTTCCTGCAAATACTTCTCTGCATACACAACATCATTTGTGTTACTTACCTGTTGTTTCTTTTTTTCCTATTAAGTGTTACTGTTGCCTGGATAAATGATATTTTAAAACCTCTTTTCCCTAAATTTCTCTTTTGAGTCAAAAAGAAACACCCATATGTAGCTTAAACATGTAAAGAAGAAGGTGTTTCTTTTTTATTAATGCGAAAAGAACAACATAATAGAAATAATCAGATAAGTGTATATATGGCAAATGCTGTGAGTACCTCTGTATTGAGGGAAGAGAGTAGAGAAAGAGCTGACTTCAAGTAAACCGCCTTCATTCCAAGAAGGGTCAAACTTTTCCACCTTCCAGTGATCAACAGTCTCATCATCCCATGGCTTTGGCTTGTCATGCTTCCCCTTGTGTCTCTTTCCCTTCTCTGTTACTTCTTCCACATCCATAACTTTCAAATCTGATATTAAATGAAAAGACAATGTTATCTAATATTTAAATATCTATGCGCCTAAGTTAAATACCATTTAAGTTGTACTCACTTTCTAATATAGCTCAGCCTTGCTTCTTTTGAACTAGAGAAATCTCCAAGATTACTTTTGACATATTCAGGCAAAAGTTTAGGTGTAGTTTATAATATTTTCAGATAAACTTGAATTGAATTGTATGCTTTCAAACTCTTGTTTCTTTAAGAAAATAGGACAACAGAACAGATATGAATTTTCCTTTTAGCCAAAGAAAATGGTTTATCAAACATGAATTTTTATCAAATGCTCAACAAATATGACCTAAGAAACGGTATCTTTTATGCATAACAGAAGCAACTATAAGAGAAGTCGGTATTTGAATTTTCTCTAATGAAAATTAGAAAAACTGACAAAGAAGCATTCATGTAAACTCAGCAACATTAATTCCAAAACTTTTTGATAAAGGATAAACCCACAATGATAAGAAATCCTGATCTAAACCTTCACTATTCTCAGGCTAACCAATTCCAGTCTAGAAACTAACATTTGCATATATCAAATCAAAGAAAAAAATCGAATATTAAAAAGGGATTGAAGAATTACCAGAAAAGAGGAACAGAGACTGACGGGGTGGTTAACGGTGGTGGGTCGATGCAGGGGTTAACGGCGGTGGTGGTGGTCGATGCAGAGGTTGATAGCGTTGGTGGTAGGGGTTGAAGTAGAAGAGCGCCGATGGTCGATGGAAAAGAAGAGAGAGCGAGAGGGGAGAAGAGAGAAAATAGCGGTGGTTGTGAAGCAGAAGAGAACGAGAGGGATGATATCAACGTATGTTCATTAGGTTAAGAAAAGGGTTTTTTTTCAGTCATAAAGTTTTTTTAAGTTGTTTAAACCTGCCCGGACAAACGGATCTATTAACAATCCAATGCAAATATCTATTTTTTTTTTTTTGACACATTATCAATCTAACCCAATTCAAATTTTTTTATCCAAAAAAAACATAAAAAATAGAGTAAATTACACAATTCATCCCGAACGTAAGTGTTAAATTGCACATTGAGTCCCTATTTTGAAAAATTAACTCGCAAAGTCCCTCATTTGTTTAATTTTTACACGCTTCATCCCTAATTTCGTTGGCCAGACATAAAAAAACGATTTTGCCTTTATCTTTTTGATTTATTTTTATTTGTTAGTTATATTTAATTAATTAAATATTTATTTGTTTATTTAAAGTAATGGACCCCACCACGTATACCCTCTTTATCTCTTTATCTCTTCAGCACGAATCAACTAGAAGCCTGTGCTGTCCTCTTTGTCGCCGGTGACTGTGAATCTCATTTTTCCGACTTAATGAGAAAAAGGAGATTGATGAGAATGAGGAAGGAGCACCATAAATCTCATTTTTCTTGTTTAGGGGTTGCAATACATACAGTGAAGGAGGAGATGCATCTAGAGACCTCCACTCTCCGGCCAGCCATTGACCTCCATCTCCGACTACCTACCATCACCTCCAACCACCTACCAACGCTCACGTCTACTGATACTCTCTCTCACCCCTCATCAACCGGGAATCTGAAAATACATAAAAACTCAAAAATCCCCCAAAAAAACCCCAAATATCTCTACAATATGTAAATCTCTGTAAATCAATAACCAAACACTAAGCACCATGGTAGTATAGTTGAAATCTAGAAGTCAGAACCACAAGACCACTATCAGTGGTGAAGAGAGAGGGAGATAGATGATATGGTGGTCGTCCGATGTAAATCGAATCAGATGAAACTCATAAATCAAATCATCTATTGAGATAAATTTGCTCAAGAGGATGAGGTGCTTCATCACCAGCGGGGTTGGGGCTTGGATTTCTGGACATAAAGAGAAAGGCGAATGAGGCGTTCTTCAACATATTTTCGGTGATTGTTCCAGTTTTCCGGTGACGATTCTAGTCTTCAAGTTTTCCGTCCTTCAACAGATGTGTAGAAAGAGAAAGGAAGATAGAGAGGGAGAGGGAGAACGAGGGGTTGAGGATGATGGTGCGCAGGTGGAATAGAAGAAGAACTTATATCAAAATGAAATAAAAGGGTAAAATAGTCATTTTATGCATATTAGGGACTCCGGGAGTGAAGAAAATACAATATAAGTATGGTCCGAATTAATTTTTGAAAATAATGACTCAACGTGTAATTTGGTGTAATTTGGCACTTGAGCTAGGGACGAATCGTGTAATTTACTCTAAAATATAAAATGAAATAAAATGGTAAAATAGTCATTTTATGCATATTAGGGACTCCGGGAGTGAAGAAAATACAATATAAGGATGGTCCGAATTAATTTTTGAAAATAAGGACTCAACGTGTAATTTGATACTTGAACCAGGGACGAATCGTGTAATTTACTCTAAAAAAATATCAATATTGATCTTGTTCTGTAGAGAAATTTATTTTATGTTTTTTTATGTATTTTATTTATTTTTCTAATAAATATTATTCTTTCTTTTTAATAAGATAAATTATTTATAAGGAAAACAAATGGAAAAAATAATTAAAAAAAGAAAGAGACAAAAGTCGTTACCTAGGCCGTGGTAACGAGGGGCTCACACAAAATTCTTGTTTTTTTTATTTTTTTAAAAAACATTTTATGATGATCTTCATAAAAAGAAAATAAAGACTTAAAGAGTCGGTTGCCGAAAAAATAAAAAGTCTTGAAAACCATGTGAGAGAGTCTTTGTTACCACCGGCAAGTCGTCTATTTTTCTAGAATATATTTGCCACATTGGTTGCTCTGAGTCTCAATATCACATTTGGTTTTCAT